TGAGAAACAAAAAATGAATTTAAGCCATTGGATCAAAAATAATCAATGGTCAAGATTGTTATTCTTGTGATTGATATATTGCCCAATGAGAAAAAAGTGAGAAGATAGACAAAACATTGATTTGTGGCCTTTAGATTGAAATCAATCATAGGCCAAAACTTACCCATTAAAAAATGTTTTCACTTAATAAAATATTTAAATTAAATATTTATATTAATTTCTACAAAAATATATTTATATATAGTTAATGTAATTTTGTAATTTGCAGTTAAAGTTTTAGAAAAATAGATTTATACTTTTAAATTTTTTTATAATTTATGATTCATTGCTATAAGGATTTGGATTTTAATTAAGTTTCAAGTTTGAGAATTAGTGTATGAGGGTATGAGATTATACTTATGATTTGGAATTAAAGTTTCCTAGGTATAAATTTAGACATAAAATGTTTTTTGATTTATAAAACGATTTTATGTTTATTTGTATTTTGTAGTTCTAAAACAAACAAAACAAAAGCCCTAAACCCTAGAATTTAACTCCAAACTCTTCAAACCCTAAATCCCAAAATTTAATCCCAAACTTCTAATATATACCTAAACTATATATAACGTTTTGACCTTAAACTTTATATTTTCAAATAATATCTACCTATATACGTTTATAACATTCAAATACAAAATTATAAATCTATTACCCTAAACAACATACTAGTAACACCAAACCTTATATAATAAACACTAACCTTTCATTTTAAACTTGTAATCTTAAAATTTTAATTATAAATCATGTAATCAAATATAGAATTAACTACATAGGTTATAACTTTCAAATACAAAACTATAAATCTAATACCCTAAACAGTATACTCTTAACACCAAACCTTATATCATAGACACTAACCTTTTATTTTAAACTAGCAATCTTAAAATTTTAATTATAAATAATAAAATCAAAATATAGAATTCACTATATAGGTTATAACTTTCAAATACAAAACTATACATTTAATACCCTAAACAACATACTCTTAACACAAATCCTTATATCATAAACACTAACCTTTCATTTTGAACTTGTAATCTTAAAATTTGTATTATAAATCATGTAATCAAATATGGAATTAACTATATATACTATTAAAAGTGAAGACCCCCTTGAAAAATCGACTGATGGAAGTTGTTTTCAACCTCATTAATGTCATTTTGATAATTTATTTTTTTGGTCTTACATCTATATATATATCGATTGTTACTAATCATATTCGATAATGTATTTCATACAATTATATTGTGTTACAGACCTTATATTACAAGATTTCAATCTATATATTTCCAAGATTATAATTTTTTGGTTGACATTTTTTGGTATATGCATCATATATCGATGATATGATGCTATATTTCATATATTAATATTTTCATATAATTGTACTACACCTTATATTTCAAAGACT